GCATTTATCATATAATACCCCGTTATCGTAAATGCAGCTTTGTCATCAAAACAGCTGCATTTACAGTATTTATGTGAGTGTGTGTGTCTGTGTGTGCGCTGTGCGTCTGTACCGGTTTTTCATCTCAATACCTACAAAAGCTACAGGGTTGAAATTTTGGGAACTTAATCTACTTGCGTGTATGGGCCCCCATTTCCAAAATGAACGGTCTTACCCGCGTGGCTCACATGTACGGGCTCGCCAAGGTTTTTTTCGGGTAAGCTGCTAACTCGGGAACCTGAAAAGCTAGAAGACTGAAATTTTAAGGGGATATTCCTCGTTCAAGCAGATCTTAATGAGTTCACGTCCAATCTCCGAGTATGCGTGGTCCCTATGTACGGCCCCGTGAAAGTTTTTTGCGGATAAGTTGCCAATTCGGAAGCTAGGAAAGCTAGAAAGCTGAAATTTTAAAGGAATGTTTTCAGACAGCTTTGGTGGCCAGTCTCAATTGTCTTAGCTAAAAGTATTTGCAGGAAAAACTGGTACCGTTAGCGACAAAAATCTCCGGGGAACTATGCAAAAATCGCATGTTCGCACCGGCAGTCGGTGCCCTGGCCAATTTAGGTGTTTTGTGCTGTGTAACAGCAGTACGTAAGTAGCGACGCGCACCAGGGCAGCTGGTGCGATCATATTTTTTGTGCAATTCCGTCCACCGAATATTGCCTGCTAATGACTTTCACTGTTTTGAATTTAAATTTGAGGGGTTGCGCATGAGTAGGGAACAGTCCCCCAAAATTTCAGCTTCCTAGATTCCACGGTTTCCGAGATAATGTACCCGCTAAATAGGGCGGTAGTTAATACTGAATTTGAATTTGCGATGTTGTACTTGGGCAGGGGGTCACTGCTTCAAATTTTCAGCTTCCTAGATTCCGTGGTTCCCGAGATAATAGTTTATCCTGCAAATTTAAATTCAGTCTCCCCGACTCGCAAGTAACACGTATGGCCCTGTAAAAGTTTTGGCGAGTAAAATTATTATCTCGGTCACGGGAGCTAGATGAAATTTTGTGAACATACCTTCTGCCCACACGCGACCCAGAAAATTTAAATTCAATCTTCTCTTGCCACGGTTACACGAACGGCCCCGTGAATGTTCAGGCGGGTAAATTATTATCTCGGGAACGAAAAAATCCACGAAGATGAAATTTCAGGGTAATGACCCCCTGTCCACGAATGATTTGCAAATTCAAATTCAGCGTTCCTGCGCTCTCGCGTATCATCTACGGGCCAGTGAAAATTTTTGCCGGTAAATAACCACAAAGTCTACGAGGCTAATGACCCACATGCGACCTTACAAATTTAAATTCAGCGCTTCCATGCTCTCGGATATCACTTACGGCCTCGTGAAAATTTTTGCGGGTAAACTATTATCTCGGGAATCACGGAAGGATATTCACCCTTCAAGATTTCAAATTACAAAGCAGTGAAAACCACTAAAAGACAATCGGTTCGTGGGCGGAATTGCACAAAATGCATGATCGCACCGGCTAGTCTGGTGCGCGTCGCTATTTATTTGTCTTGGTGAGACTTTGGAGTCAAACAAAACCTGCTGGCTTTCACTCAGTACCTTATTTCTTGCTTGGCATCGGTAACCCATACAACTTTCAGTTCTCAGTCCCCTCTCCAGTCCTGACCTCCAGGCAAGATCTCCGCTCTTCCCTGGTCAGTGCTCTAGTCCCATTCCCCCTCACAGTCAGTGCTGCAGCGTCTTCTTTCCCCCCACCCAGTCCTGCTCTGCCCCACCATCCCAGAGCATACGAGGGTCGTTGGAAAGTGTCGCTGAGCCGCCCTAGCCGAGTTAGCAATCACTCTTTTGCGTTGCTTCCGTGCCAGGGGGAGTGCTGAAATTTGGACGCTCGATCGTTCACTGTGCATGTGTTCCCCGGATTTGGGCCCGGGCTGCTAGGATGGTGACACGGGTTTTTTGTTTCGCTGAGGTTACAGGTCTCACATTCAAGACTGCTTATTTCGCCTCACTATCGAGTTTCATGCTGAGCATGAAAGACCTACATTACAGACCCTCTCCCTGTGTTCACTCCCTACTTGCCGATATCTCAGCGACTTTTTCAGTCAGTAACCCTGTTCCTTCCCCTCAATTATGACCTCCGAGACCTAAACTACCATCGCTGGCTCCCTCGCCCCCTCCCCGTCTCCAGCCCCCCATGCCTCACTCAGCCATCGCAGCTTGCTTCCCGACCTGGCCAAATCATTTACATCTAAGTAGCCGGTGTCGACTGGCTGTTTTGGGTTTTTGTAGAGTTGTTTTGTAGAGTTTTTGTAGAGTTTTTTGTTGTAGAGTTTTGTAGAGTTGTAGCGTTGCAGTTTTCTCAAAAGTTTTGTGTCGGTGTCTTTGGGACTCTTGTACTGTTGCGTGGCCGACATCTCCTACTGGGGGTGTGTATATACGTGTGTGTGTGTGTGCGTGTGTACATGTATATGTGTATGTGTGTGTGTTTGTCCCAGTCTGTGCGTATCTTCACTGAGTGGGTGGGGAGGACGACTGGGAGAGGCGGAGGAGGGTGTGGGTCACTTGCAGCATGAGGCACTTTTGTTCATCGGAAGGTACGGTCCATATACAGTTCTTTTTCCGGGTTGTGTTAAGCGATAGTGATTACGGCGATGATGGTGGCTGTTCGGTAGTGGCGAGTGGCTGAACGAAGGGCCAGCACACTGATACGGGTTTGCCAGTGCGGGAGCGGTATGCAGAAGTCGAGGAAGCCGTTCTGGTTCAAAATCTTCGATCGGTACTCGCGCGTGGGCGTGCTGCGCAAGAGGCCGCGATCGGGCAGCGTTGCGGTGGTGGCCTTCTTCGTTATCGTCCCGGCCACTATGTACATCATCGGTGCCTATCCGATGCTGCACAAGGATCGCTTCAAAGGCCTCCAGAAGAAAGCATCGGAGCAGTAGCCGGTGCTGCTCGACGGGCTCTTTTT